AACAATCTTTTTATAATTACCATTCAAAATAAAAATTTTTTTTTTTTTGAGACAGAGCCTCAATCTGTCGCCCTGGGTAGAGTGCTGTGGCATCACAGATCACAACAACCACCAACTCCTCAAGTGATTCTCTTGCCTCTGCCTCCCAAGTAGCTGGGACTACAGGTGCCTGCCACAACATCCAGCTATTTCTTGGTTGAAGCTGTCATTGTTGTTTGGCGGCCCGGGCTGGATTTGAACCTGTCAGCTCAGGTGTATGTGGCTGGCGCCTTGGCCGCTTGAGCCACAGGTGCCAGGCCACCATTCAAAATTTTAAGGAAGGCCACAAAATAGGAAGGTTTCAACATAGCTTTGACTATCTTAAATAATGCAATTCGGCTGGGCACCTGTAGCTCAAGTGGCTAAGGTGCCAGCCACATACACCTGAGCTGGTGGGTTTGCATCCAGGTGGGCCCACCAAACAACAACAATTGTAACCAAAAAAATAGCCAGGTGCTGTGGCAGGTGCCTAGAGTCCCAGCTATTTGGGAGGCTGAGGCAAGAGAATCACTTAAGCCCAGGAGTTGGAGGTTGCTGTGAGCTGTGATGCCACAACTCTATCCAGGTTGACAGCTTGAGGCTCTGTCTCAAAATAAATAAATAAATAACTAAAAATAATGCAATTCAACTTTTTTATTAAACTTGGCTTAAAAATAAAATAATACAACCTGGTTTTCTTGTATCCTCAATGAATCCCCAATGATTAATTTAAAAAAATAAATTAAATAATACATAGGGATACAAAGAATTTCACAATCCTACTAAAGTGAATAACATCAACAGTCATTGTTAATTTTTTTTTTTTTGAGACAGAGCCTCAAGCTGTCCCCCTGGGTAGAGCACAGCTCACAGCAACCTCCAACTACTGGGCTCAAGCGAGTGTCCTGCCTCAGCCTCCCAAGTGGCTGGGACCACAGGCACCCGCCACAACGCCCGGCTATTTTTATTTTTTTTTGGTTGCAGCCATCGTTGTTTGGCGGGCCGGGCTGGATTCGAACCCGCCACCTTAGGTGTATGTGGCTTGGTGCCTTAGCCACTTGAGCCACAGGCACCGAGCCCATTGTTAATATTTTGAAAGATTGTTCAATATCCCCAAGGAGAATCAATTATAATTGTTCCTTTATAAAATGATGATACTATCTCTTATCTAGTTACTGTACTGTCCAGTTATAGAAAGCATTTGGGAAATAACAATGAAACAAATCTGAGAATATAAAACTACATTTATTATAAATCTTGTCACCTGGACTGCAGATGGTGGCAGCTTGGCATGCTAGATCATGTATCTCAGAAGGAAGGTTCAGTCCCACAGGTGCTGCCATTGGGATATCATCAGCCAACATCTGACAAAGTCTCTGACATGTCAGAAATAGTAATTTCCCAGTGTCGGCATTGCAGTGATACTTAAACAAATCTCTTTAAGTAGGAAAAAAAATGCTGGTAGTTAGAATACTCATATTGAAAGTAAACACATGTCTTTCTGGGATTAACATATAACCACCATCATCAACACGTACAATGTCCCCCACATGTTTTCATGGTATATGGTACACTTTGGTTTTCAAGTTATTGTGGATACCATTATAGGCAGTCCCTGGGTTATGAATGAGATAAGTTCTGTACCTATGTTCTTAAGTTGAATTTGTATGTAAGTTGTACCTACTACCTGTAACAGCCCCCATTTGTAAGTGTGAGATATACATCAGTTGGATGTTTGTAACTCAGGGAATCACTCACTGAAATGGCCTCTATTCATAAGAGTTAGGTAGAAGTTGGATGTTTATAACTTAGGGACTGCCTATAAATGCTGAAGTACACAGTAATTTAAATTTAATGGTTATGTTACCTAACTCTGCAGAATTTGCTACTTGCCTTTGACACTATTATTTTCTAACATAGAACCCCAAAATAGGCTCTCAGGGCAAGAAATTGAGAATTCCTTCAGTTAAAAAAAAAAGAAAAGTGCCACTGGCCCCATCCTCACTACTAAAGAAAACAAGCAAGCAAATGTTACTTTCAGACAAACTATACAATTTGGAGATCTGGAACATTACCTGCATTTTTTCAGGGCTGTTCCTACATTCCCATCTTTTAAGGCTCTTAAAGTCAGCTCTGCCTCCAACTCTTGTCTGGAGCCCTGCAGGGCCAGCACCTGTCTGTGCACCTTTGACTCCAGGCTCAGGTTCTTTTCCTCAGCAGCCATGGGCACTAGGGTGCTCCTGAGTTTGTGTTTAGCCTGTGCAACTTCATGCATTTTAATGTACTGTTCACGGAGATCTGCAACCAGGGAACTATTGCTATAATCTTCAAATGAAAGAAAGATCTCAAAGTTCTCCTGTAGCAAAGGTAAACAAGACAAAGTCCCAACCAAGTCTGATTAGTTGATCTATTGTTTAAAAAAAAATTTTTTTTTTTCTGTCTCTGCTATTTGAATAGGATTATCATTATTTTTTAAACTTTATCACCTCTCCCTCAAAGACTATTTTGTAAATTAAGAATTTAAGACTTGAGGCTTGGTGCCTGTAGCTCAGTGGCTAGGGCACCAGCCACATAACACCATGGCTGGCAGGTTCAAACCCAGCCTAGGCCTGCTAGACAAAAATGGCAACAACAACAACAACAACAACAAAATAGCCGGGCATTGTGGCGGTGCCTGTAGTCACAGCTACTTGGGAGGCTAAGGCAAGAGAATCACTTAAAGCCCAAGAGTTTGAGGTTGCTGTGAGCTGTGATGCCATGGCCATGGCACTCTACTGAGGGCAACATAGTAAGAACCTGTCTCAAAAAAAAAGAATTTAAGACTTGGCATTTCAAGTCATAAAATTAAAAATATTAGAAAAAATCAGAAAATAGTTTCAGAAGATCAGGTTAACCAGGGTTTCTCAATTTCTACATTACTGACATTTTGAAAAAGACAATTCATTGTTATGAGGAGTTCTGAATAGAAAAAGAAAGAATTAAGTAGTAGGTTTGGGTGATTCTATCCTGGTGGCTTGAAGAAGTGAGCTTTGCCCTTTTTCTATAATTCCTGGTGGACTGTTAACTCCAGACCTAAAACTTATTCCTCAGACCCAATAAAAATATCCCACTGAAGGCTGGGCATGGTGGCTCATGCCTGTAATCCTAGCACTTTGGGAAGCCAAGGCTGGAGGATCGCTTGGGGCCAAGAATTCAAGAGAGGCTGGACTCTAGCTCAGGCAACAGAACGTGATTCTGTCTCTTTTTTGAGACAAAGTCTCACTATGTCACCCTGGGTAGAGTGCTGTGGCATCATAGCTCACAGCAACCTCAAACTCTTGGTTTTAAGTAATTCTCTTTCCTCAGCCTCCCAAGTCGCTGGGACTACCGACGCCTGCCACAACACACGGCTATTTTTTGGTTGTAGTTGTCACTGTTATTTGGCAGGCCTGGGCTGGATTTGAACCCGCCAGCTCTGGTATATGTGGCTGGTGCCCTAGCTGCTGAGCTATAGGCACCAAGTTGTAAGACCCTATCTTATTAAAAAAAAAAAAAAAAGCCCTCACTGAATCCCAGGGAAAGAAATCAGACCCCGTGCTCTGATGCCACACTTTAGATCTGGGTTTCTTAATTTTGATAGTACCTTGGGCCAGATAATTCTACTGTGGGAGGCCATCCCTTGGGTTGTATTAATAACGTATTTAGCAGCATCCCTGGCTTCTACCCATTGAATGACAGTATCATTCTCCCCACATCAGTGGCGTGGGTGCAATGGTTATATCTCCTGCAATATCTCCAGGCTGGGTGGGTGCAGTGGTTCATGCCTATAATTCTAACACTCTGGAAGGCCAAGGCAGGTGGATCACTTGGGCTCATAAGTTTGAGACCAGAGTGAGTATGAACAAGACCATATTTCTACTAAAAATAGAAAAAACTAGCTGAGCATTGTGGTGGGCACCAGTAGTCCCAGGTACTTGGGAGGCTGAGGCCAGAGGATTGGTGAGCCCAATAGTTTGAGGTTGTTGTGAGCTATAAGGACACCATGGCACTCTACCCAGGGCGAAAGAGTTAGGCTCTTTCCGGGGTAGAGTGGGGGTGGTGGTGGAGGGAGTATGAGGAAAAGTTTCCAGACTTGCCAAATGTCCTCTGGGGCACAAAACTCTCCCCCCACCCCATCCAGAACAGCTTAACAGCTTAACCTTATAAACATTGAACATTTTCTTGGTATTTCTGTTCAGTTTTCTTCATCAGCATTTTATGGCCAAATTGTTGAATTTCACATCTTACCTTTTCCACTTAATATCATGTAATTTCCCCCTTTCTGTCATTACAAGGAATTCATAAATATTATTTTTGATGGCTGCATAACACATAATCTATGATGGAGTCAATATTTATAAAATGTGATAAAAATTTCAAACTGATATTTTCCTCCCCAAAATTATTTATTTATTTATTTATTTATTTATTTTTTGAGACAGAGTCTCACTGTGTCATCCTTGGTAGAGTGCCATGGAGTTACAGCTCTCAGCAACCTCCAACTCTTGGGCTTAAGTGATTCTCTTTCCTCAGCCTCCCAAGTAGCTGGACTACAGGTAATTGCCACAACACCTGGCTATTTTCTTGTTGCAGTTGTAATTGTTGTCCAGCTGGCCCGGACCAGGCTCGAACCCACCAGCCTTGGTGCATGTGGCTGGAGCCATAACCACTGTGCTACAGGCACCAAGCTTTCCCTGAAGAAGATGCATCATGTCTAAGTACACATTTATAGAAATAAATATAAAAATTCACCACTGATATTTGCTATGCTATTTTGTTAAAGGATCTTCATTACATGTCATAGTACCACAAAAATTTTATGTTTAGATAGCCATAGGCTATCTCTAGAAGGATAAACAAGAATTTTATGACAATGGCTGCATCTGGATAGCTTGAGTGTCAGAGCAGGAAAAAGACTTATTTTATTTTATTTTTATTTATTTATTTATTTATTTTTGAGACAGAGCCTCAAGCTGTCCTCCTGGGTAGAGTGCCGTGGCATCACAGCTCACAGCAACCTCCAACTCCTGGGCTTAAGCGAATCTCCTGCCTCAGCCTCCCAAGTAGCTGGGACTACAGGCACCCGCCACAACCCCCGGCCATTTTTTGGTTGCAGCCATCATTGTTGTTTGGTGGGCCCGGGCTGGGGATTTGAACCCGCCACCTTAGGTGTATGTGGCTGGCGCCTTAGCC